TAGCAATGAGTATTACAAGAGTTGATCTACCACGAGATCGTAATGGCTAAACCCTAGAAGTCTAGCCTATGAGATTATGATTGTTGTGGTTAAACCCTAGAAGTCTTAACCCTCCGGTTTATATAGACACCGAAGGGGGCTAGGGTTATACAAAGTCGGTTATAGAGAAAGGAACCTACATATCCGAATCGCCAAGCTTGCCTTCCACGCAAAGGAGAGTTCCATCCGGACACGGGACAATGTCTTCTATCTCGTATCTTCATAGTCCAATAGTTCGGCCAAAGTATATAGTCCGGCTGTCCGAGGACCCCTTAATCCAGGACTCCCTCACCTACCTGCAGGACATGCGGGATACCTGGCTTGGTTAGCCAAACATGGTGAGACACGTAATTATACACGTGATTGGACCATGACAATATCGGACATCCGACATGCCACAACTTGGATCCGAGGAGGTGCCCACCCCATGTGCTTTACTGATGAGGTAATGCAACATCAGTTCCCAGACGAGTTTAAACCAATTAACATTGAGCAATGTGATGGAACAACGGATCCAGCCGTATGGATCGAGGATTTCCTCATGCACGTCCACATAGTTGGAGGCGATGACCTCCGTGACATCAAATACTGTTGTTGAAACTCAAAGGGTCGACATGGCATTGGCTTAACAACTTGCCCGATGACTCCATTGGTACTTGGGAGGATCTCGAAGATGCATTTCAAGCAAATTATCATCATGGAAGTGTCACATGCATGGCGGAAAAAGTTTTCGTCCGGGCCATAATGCCACGGATGTGTCTTCTTTTGTAGTGGTTAACTATGTATGTGAGAATAACACATGGTATTTTTGCTATTATGTTGTCATGAGGAACTAAGATGATTTTTAAACAGTCATGTGTCCACTTTGTTAGCACAAATATATGCACTCAAGAATTCTTTTTTGAGATAACAAGGTCAAGAATTTTTAGTATTTACCCTTTTTCACTTCCACGTTTTCTATCGACATGCTTAATTATAGTCAATGACAACTGTTGTCGTGATGATTATTTGCTTTTGCAAATTCTTGTCCTCTTGAGTCAGTAGTAGAGAGTACTTTGCATGATAAACCACTTGGAAGGGCTTCGAAGAATCTTTTGTTGAGTATTGGAAACAACCTTGATCAAGAAATAAACCTACCTTTTGTTTCTAGACATAAAAGAACCATTGCCAATGCCTATCCTTCTACTACATGCAGTAGGACCAAATATAAGAGAAGATAGCCAGAACAACTTATTTATAGCGTGGTTGTGGGATGCATAGACCGGCAACAGTGTATTTATGTTTGTTATATCAGTGGGAACAATAGCAGTCAACGTCAAGTAATCTATGTTTGATATATGATATTTTTTTGATGAAAACCGCAAGAACCTGTGAGATCTGCATAATGTACTTGAAGTTAAAAGTTATATTACTAACATAATCAAATATATATATATATATATAGTATGCAGATTTTTCAGCACACGGGCTCACATGCTTTCCTTCTTCAGAAAATTAGCAAAATAGAGTGTAGAGAATTCAGAAACAAGATTTGCCATATAGATTATCTTGAGCCGAAGTTTGCATGAATTTACGTTGGGTTTCTTTCCTATACAACCGAAAAGATGTAAAGATTCTTACGAAACTTGAAACCTTGACATAATAATGAAGCCAACATCCCTAGAGTCGTATCAGATCAGGCAAGAAAGAAATGATATATAATTTTCTTATCATTTGAATATTGTCAACTGACTCGTGATGAGAAATATATCCATCTAGATTTTTTTTCGAGGGTACGCCAAAGGCGTACCATAGCTTTATAGGAGAAGAGAAAGGCGTACTATATCTAGATTTTGAGTACAAGCTTCTCAACTATGTTCTGTATTAATACAATTTTCTAGGGGAATGCTACCCTTACAATGATTTTATTTTGAGAAAAGTAAGAACCTAAACTTGTGTCTTTCGGGAATTAAAATAATTTGCCTGTTGAAATTTGGGAGATTCTCCACCCCGTAAAGTTTATCCCATGAAAACCTCCCTGATACATTGAAATTACTTATTTTAATGAAAAATGATATCCTATTATGATCAATTCTAACCTTTCAATGCACGAAGAAAAGAGATTAGTAAAACTCTAAGGAAACATCATGCTCCAATTGGATATACTCTCGATAATCTCAAGGGCATTAGCCGACATAAAATTAATATGAAGCCATATGCTAAACCTGTTTTTGACCATCAACGCGTTTTAATCCTATGATGAAGGAAGTGGTAAGAAATAAAATATTAAAACTTCTGGAGGCAGTTGTATTTCAATCTATAGTTGATAATAGATGAGTAAGCCTCGTTCATTGTGTCCCTAAGAAAGGCGGCAGTCGGGATAGGCTGCCGAGCCCCCACGTTCTTCCGTCGCCGAAAAGGATTACTTCAATCACGACAACGACGATACGGACAACGACGACGGTGCGACCACCACGTGTATGATTTTATCGTCTGCTACAAGTTAACCTCCTAGTTTTTTTAAAATTTTGTTTTAGTTAAACGAATGAAATACATTTGTTTTATGTAAATTATGTCCGAACTTAGTGGATTCCGTTTTGTTTGATGAAATTTGTCCGAGTTATCAAATTTATATTGAAATGGATGCGAGCACGGTTAAATCGTTCAGCTCTCGTGTCACCATGCACGGACGGATGCCATGTCCGTTTTTAGGGTCAACGCCAGAGACGCCCTTATAGGACTTCAAACGATCCAAGGACACCGACACCATTTGTATTTATAATAGTTTGGGTGCGTATTAGCGGTCAAACACCATAGATTAGCCGCCGAAACACGGAACGAGCACGTATTTTGCAACGACGACTTGGACACCAGCCACCCCGCCCGTCATGCAAAATTGCCCTTTGAAGCGAAGAATGGACGGTCGAGACTCGCACCAGAACGACGTGTACACCGATCTAAAAAACAGAGAGAGGAAAAGCATACGATTATACATTCTTCTAAAGAGAAAAGTAGTATATACTCCACCGTATAAACAAATGCTATGATTGAGCTACGCCACGTTGGTGCAGCCTAGCTGACCATCCATCCGTCCATCCAAGGGCCCCAGAAGGGAAAAAAGAAGAGGCGATATTCCAATTTCTTTCCACAGCCCACCCACTTGCACGTTCCGCACGCACCGCACGAGCCCATGTTCCGCATTTCCCATTCACACACACACACACAAAAAAACACACCACGCGGCCCCAACCAACCAGCCTCCGCGCCCGCCCGATCCCATCTGACCACCCCAAAGTCCAAACACGACGCTTCCGTCGACGATCCATTTTTCCTCCAAACAAACGGGCTCCGTCCAACCAACCACGGCACACCGCACGCACGCCAGCACGGCGCGCCCCCTCCCATTCGCGAAAGCCGCTGTGCGGTGCGCGCCCGCCCGCAGCGGATCAGCAGAATGGAACGAATCGAAAGACCCGGCATGCGACGAACCTGCCCCCACCGCCAGGGACGCCGCCACCCGCGCGGCCCACCGCCGACGATCCACCAACCGTGGACCGATCGACGGCCCAGATCCCGCACCCGCCCCGCGCCGCGGGTACGCACGGGAAATGGCCGGGATCCCTCCCTCCCGCTGTCACCCGCCAGCCGAGCACGCCGCGCCGTAACGGCCCGCGAGAAGGACCCGACCCGCTACGCTCCACCTCCACGGGAGGGAGGGGCGGGCGAAGATAAAGAGGCCCGCATCCCGCAAACCCTAGCCCCCTCGCATATATTCCCCCGCCCCGCAGCGCCTGGCCACCCCCCTCTCTCTCTCACCGCAAGACCGGAAGGAGAG